CGACGTTTTATCAGAGAATGTTGAATATTTCTAGTAACAAAATGTTGGGGTTCAAAGGGTTAATAGATATAATGATATAGACACGTTTTAAATTACAATGACGAATAGTCAATTTAGAATATACGACTGAAGTTGAAAAATAATTTTAATTTAAAAATTCTAAATTGAAATAGTAGAGATTAGTGGAAATAGTGTTAAAGCTAAGTAAAGTTAACTAGAGTTAAGTGAAATTAATAGAAATAGTGTTAAAACTAAGTAAAATTAAATAAAGTCAACTAAAGTTAAGTAAAATTAAATAAAGTTAACTAAAGTTAAGTGAAATTAGTAGAAATAGTGTTAAAGCTAAGTAAAATTAAATAAAGATAGGTAAAATTATTAGAAATAGTGTTAAAGCTAAGTAAAGTTAAATAAAATTAACTAAAGTTAAGTAAAGTGAACTAAAGTTAAGTAAAATTAATAAAAATAGTGTTAAAGTTAATTAAAATTAGTATAAACCGTGTTAAAGCTATCGTACAACCGATACTCCCACCACCTCTTCCTACCTACATTCCATATTTTTCCCAACACATTCCTCGATTCACAACAATGAAAATCTGAAATATTCAGTTTCCCATCCTATTTAACCAGAAGACACTCTAAACATCATTCGACTAACGCGTCGCGTTAGAAGTGACACTCAGTATACCGTCGCGTTCCCATTTTCCCCGTGGAAAATATGAATATTTCGTATCGCGGCGTACTAATATTATCCTTCTCTTGTTTGTCAGAGACAGCGGCGAAGCAACATTCCGGATTCCAGACGGTGGTCGGCGTTTTCAACGCTATCGAACACAGTGCATCGTTAGAGATGCATACAATTATGCTAGTTGCCCGCAAGTGTTCGTGTCAGCGACGGAAGCGCTCCGGTCCTTCGGATGCGAGATAAAAGTGTGTTTGCATCGCGGAGCGAGATAAAAGGTCGCGCGCCGCGCACGCTGTAATTGTAATATGCAACGCGCAATTTCGTCCGCTTAAAAATATCTGAAGCTTCGCTAGGAAATTACTGTGAAACATATTTGTTACAGAATGTCCTCGTTGTATGGTGGAGTTGGTGAATACATGGGGAACTAGGTGACGCGAGATCAATTCCGTTTTCGGACGTCAGAAAATCGAGGTTAATAATTTCACCTGTTTATTTTGAAAGTCGTTTAACTCGTTGACCTATGATTTATTTCTGAACTATGACCGACACGATTATCGTGAATAATTCATTGAAAAAAATTGGAACTTCTTTACGCGGTAAATTGGACGACTATTTACGCGATCTGAATTTAGTAACAGAATGAAATATGCTTTTGTCTTCTAAAACGTCCTTGTTATTTCTTTTGTTAAGCTGTATGAAAGGAATATGTGTTTCGCGTAAATCGAGGGTTAAGTGTATTCAGTTTGAATTCATAGGAGCTAATTGCTTGCGTTTGTTAATCTTTGCGGACGAAGATTCTTTGAAATGGAAGAAACCTTCAGCAGATGAAGCTAAATTCTGTATCGATCGCATGAATAATAAAAATCGGGAAACTATGTGCTGATCTCTTGCTGTTTGAGTAATTAGGTCATTCGGTAGATCATTCATGGTTAGATGAAAGGGTTAAATTCTATTTGAAATCTTCGTCACGAGTCTTGCGCGTTATTGAAAGGCAAGGGTTGTAATTAACGCATTGCGTACCGGCTAATTATCAGAAAATTAAGTTGCGCGGATTTACAGTGAGATCCACTTATACCTCTGTCTATAAAAAAACACAGGGATCGTACTGTTATGTAATATATTTTAAATGGACAATTGGTTCTAATCAAATTTAATATTTCCTTAAATACTGTGGTAATTATCAAAGTTATATAGCTAAGAGTCTTTATATAAAAACGAGATTTCTCGTTACCAGTACGCAATGTGTTAAGGCGATTTTTAACACTAGATTTACGGAACACGTCAAATTGACGCATATTGGATTTTAGAAATATTATTTTGTAAACGTTTACGCCGATTTTGATTGACGCGATCACACTGACATGTACCCCAATTACCTACTATCAAATCTCCAGTTTCCACAATCTAAATAAACGAGCATCAATTCTTTTAGGAATAATAGAATGAAGTGTAGAATAAATGCCCGTAAGCCTAGTGTAAAAAAAAATCAAGTTAACCGTTATAATGGTTGCAACTCTGAAGAATCTTTTCATTTTTCAATGGTCCTTTCATCTTTCTTAACTGGACTTAAGACAGTTTCAAAATAAACCGTTCATTCTACCGATTCTTGGAGATGCCACGTGACGTATTCCGTGAATAAATATGGCGCGAAGCTGAAAATATTATTGTACCGGCAGATCAAAATAAACATAATGGCATACGTGTAAATATCGGACTCGGTAGCAGCTGTCGGTTAGACGACCGTGACTGACTTGTGATGATATCCCTGGTGTATTTGGTTTTCATCTGTGCTTTCAGAGTGGATTCATTAAGGAAGGGTTGCTAAGGGTCAATTATTTTTGTAAATATTCTTGTATTGTATGGAGCCTCGAATATATTGTTAATAACAACTCTGCGCAGTCTGTATAATAAAATTTATACTATATAGTTTTTTTATTCAATCCGCAAATGTGTAATATCTGTATACGGGATGGGGATGTCCAGATCCTGGGTTCTCTTGGCTGCCTTAGATTTTTTTTTTATTAAAATAAAGAAATTAGGCCACAGCTGGCCCATAAGTCCATATACAATGTTTTATATATATATAAATATATATGTGTAAAATATACAAAAAGAGAAAAAATTAAAACTTTTAAGACCTAAAATAGTAAGTATACAGAAAGAATAAGAAAAAAAAATCTTTGTATTCTCTATCACAGCCTTATGTAAACTTGCACTGAGGTCAGCAAGGCCGATAGTGGCGCCATCTAGTGGCGAGGCGTTTTCGAAGCTTCTCCCTATACCCGCAATGTGTAAGACAAGGACAGAGATAGCGATCCTCGTGCCACCTACTTGGAAAAAGCATCTCATCAGTCCCTGGTACCTACTCGTGAAGCATGATAACCAAGGAGGTCTCCGACAAAGCAGACATACGATTTGGCGGGAGAGAGACAAGGTCGCAAGACGGCGTCTAATGAGATGTGTATAACCGATGGAAAATTCATTAATATCTCCACTCCCGCGAATGATTTGTTAACATTTGCGATTGGGGATCGTATTATGGACCCTCCCGTTGTTTTTGATATCACTTTTGACAGGATTTTGTTTCGTGTTAATTTTTTATGGAAGATTCTTTGAATCGAAGCAGTGGGATGAACTGGAATCTTTTGACAGGTACCGAGAATATTATTAAGTTTTGAGATTAATAGGTGAAATTTTTGGAGTTTTATGAGTGGAGAAGTTAGTATGGATCTTTAGGAGTATTTTAGTATCAATTTCAGTCACCTTTGAGTTGTGGTTAATGAGTAATTAACGATTATCGGAGGGGTTTGTTGCGTTTGTAAGGTGCCAATGGGTAAGACAAGGAACGATATATGGCGTGAGAAGGACGGAGATAGTATTCTGGATGACACCACGTATGGAGAAAAGTCGGAAACTTTTAGCTAAATAGTATAAGACTGTTTCCGCTAGATGGCGCAGACAATTAACTAGCTCTATCCTTCACGCACTCATACGTCGTTCTTTGTCTTACTCATTACTTTTCCTATAGAACGCAATGAACCCACCGGGAATTCACTAATAACTCATTAATTAGAGATTAAATGCAGCTCAAAGTGATACCAATGTGTTGCTAAAGGTCCATACTAATTTCATCGAATATAAAATTTCACTGGTTAGGTCTATCAGCATTGATAGTTAAGTATATACGCAGTCGCTGTCCAAAAGTTCTAGATCACTTTGGGACATCGCCTTGAGAAATAATTAATTCCGTAATTAAGAGACATAATTGGTGAACTTTTCTAACCAATAAAATTAGACTGGACCTCTAGGAACATTTCAGTAACAGATCCAATCACATTTGAGTTTTCATTAACAAGTCATTAGCGAGTTTCGGTGAGTAGAATATGATCTATAAGAAATGCAATGTGTGAGACAAGGAAAGATATTGTGTGCGAGAAGGACAGAAAACTATTGATACCGGCCATCTACCGGAGACAGTTCGGTACCATTTGGCTAGAAGTTTCAGCGTTCTTGAAAACGGTGGCGCCACTAATCCTAGATAAGAAGCGGTACTTTTATAACTGGTTTCTCATTCTGATTTCGGACGCCGCTCGCGACGGATCGAGGGGTTTCTTACATCGATTCTATGCGTCTCTCGCGGTGGTTCGGCGGGTTTCTCAAGGGGGGTTTCTCAAGGGGGGTTTCTCAATAAAATCGCACATTCTAAAATGGCCCCGAGCATTCATAATTTCAGATCTCTGCTAAAACTGGCTCAAAAACTCGAAAGCTGACATACAACTAAGCTCAAACCATAAAAGCTCGGAAATTTGGGGTTTTTGAATATTTAAACGTAATGAAAATGGATCAAAAGTTCGAAAGGCAACATGTCATATAGCCCAAATCAGAAAAAGCTAGCAGCTTTGGAATTTTTGAATCATTAACTCTCAGGGGAAATTCTCAAAAGCTCGAGAACTCTAATTTCAAGTGGATCAAATTAAAAAGCTCAAATTTTAGCTCTTTAGGCCGTTGAGCTCTCCCCAAAAATTGCCCGAAAGCTCGAGCGCTCTAATTACAATGGCCTCAAACTTAAAAAAAGCTCAAGAAGTAGCCCCTGGGGAATTAAGCTCTCGCAAAAACCGGTTCAAAAGCTCTAAAGCCATAATTACAGGGAGGCTCATACTTAAAAAGCTCAGAAACAACTTATTCTTCCTTAGCCACGATAGGTGGCTGCACCTTGTGGAAACAATCTTCTTTGGCTAGAAGTTTCAGCATGTTTAGCGTAGGTTGCGCCAGCGGCAGACTATGTCCTTCCTCCTCGCACTTATACATTTCTCCTTATACTAATTTCTTCGATTATAAGAGTTCGCGAATATTTGCTATTAAGACAGGGAAGATATTGAGCAACAAAGTTAGAAGAAAAAAACCATTCTCCCACTTTTTGAATTTGAATTATTTTTCTTAATATTTTGTTTAAGAGCACATATTCGTTAATTACTTTAAAAAATTTTTCTCGATTATGATTGAAATAAATTGAATCGAACACTATTAATGTACTGACCTCATAGATTTTTTTAATAAATAATTTTTAGAAGGAATGGAAGGGAATGCAAAAGAAATGATAGATTTATATTGTAAACAATTTTTAATTACTACTTATTGTGTATACATTTGTATACATTGACTCCGAGTTTCGCCGATTACACTCTATTCACCGCAGTTTGTGATATGCAAATTAAGTTGGTGGTCGATAGCCAGGTCGATTGTGCACTTATTTACCCGCATAGGAAAGCAAGTTGTTGAGAGCATTTGAAATTAATTATGCCTTCTCGAGGCGAAGATATATTAAAAGGTTTTCAAGTGTATCCTTTTCTGTGCAATTCAGATTTAATGTTGACTGATTTGCAATTGAACGTTTTTCTTAGGTTAGGAAGCAGAGTGAAACAAATCGTACATATTTTGCAGTTTTATTATTTATTTCATTTATTTCCTTAACTATAATTTATTATAGTAATTGGATGAATTTACGGGATGCCGATAGTGGTAAAATATTATGGCAAGGTAACGAAGACCTGTAAGTATAATTTAACCTAGTTACGTTTTCAAATAAAATATTAAAGTATTATTTTATGAATTAAAATGTGATATCTTTTAAAGATCCGTACCTGAAGTAGAACACGAAGCAAGAGTGCCTAAAAAGATTCTGAAATGTCGAGCAGTTTCACGTGAAATAAATTTCAGTTCGGCTGAACCCATGGAAAGATTTAGGTTAGAACAAAAAGTGTTGTTCAAAGGACGCTGCCTGGAGGAATGGTTCTTTGAATTTGGTTTCGTTATTCCAAACAGTACAAACACATGGCAGAGTCTAATTCAAGCAGCACCAGAAAGTCAAATGATGCCAGCTAACATATTAAAGTATTATGCCTCATCATTATTAGATTGTGAATATTTATGCAAGTTTATATCAGTCTAAATTAGTAAAGTAGAAATTTAAAAAAGATGAAAAGAAGTCAAAAGTATTAAAGCAATAATTTTTCTTCATTAATGTTTTTATTTTATTGTCTTCCACAATGATATGTTATATATGCATAATATTCACAGTCAATCTTATTGTTATATTGATTGCTTATACTTAAGTAATTATTTTTAATTTGTTACCAGTGGCAATGTAGTAATAGAGACAAAATTTTTTGATGATGATCTACTGGTTTCTACAAGTAAAGTACGACTTTTTTACATCTAACCGTCTCCATTCGATCCTGGTGACAATGCTACATGGGTCCAACTAATGTGTTTCTATGCACGCAATCAAGATGGAATACAGAGACTACAAGAATTCTAAACAAAGTTCATATTGAACATTTTACTTTATGCACCTACTGTGATATGCACGTGCTAGACATATTTTTTCATAAGATTCTCTTGAACAGAAGAAGTGGCACCAGTTTTATTTTTTAAGTGAACCAACAAAGACTTACTACAATGTAATGCTTGAGCTATTGAATGTGCACTTTACAGCACATTGTGTTTTTATTTATGAAGTATGGATGGATGTAGTAATTTTTGTACATATTGTAATACACTACACTGCTGTAATAAAGCAATATGTATATATACATATATATATATACATAAAACACTGTGTTTCGAATACTGTTCCTTTTAACTTTATAAATAAATGATCTAAAAATATTTAAAAAACAGAATTCTCATTCCAAATTCCTTGTATTCTCCCTTCAATTAATTTCATACTTTGTGTACCACTGAAGGAAAAGTAGAGCGTATACCAATAAGATGTATACAACAATTATTTAATAAATCAACTAACTAAATTTATGCCATATAGTTAAGAAAAAAACGAAGACTCAATTTAACATGTTCCTTCTTAATGTTGTTAATCGGTACGCGGTATTCAAGACGGTTGAAAAGCATGTTTTAATAGTTACAGACTTTGCAACCCTTTTGGGTTCATAGGTGGCAGATTCAACACTCAAAAGAGGAAATAATCAACCGCGGGGATTCGACATCTTTATAAAACGATAAAGAACAAACGAGTAAAGCTGAATATACCGTCTCCATTATACAGCCGTGCTATTGATTCCTGGTGTACAAGCAATACATTTTTGAGGCTTCACTACCCCTCTTGAGGGAGTTCATGTTGAATATACTCTATCCCCTACCCTGTCTACATCGCACAGGTGTAAGGAAAAAAAGGAGGAAAAGAGAAAAGAAATAAGCGGGAGTTGCGGAGCCACTGTGGTACCCACACGAACTTCTCAACCTGGTAGTGATTCAATTACCATTAGCCTATCCTTCATCGGTCCGTCGTACGGGATAGCCTATTCTAATGTTTAATTAGTTAAAACGATTATATCTTTGTTGAGTGCCGCGTGATGGATCTGAAGGAGGAAGACGATGGTGGAAATGAAAGTGGTAGACAACTGTTTTTGGTGGGTGCACCCCGTGATCCATTGGTATCAGCCGGGGCGATCGTCGCTTCCGGTGGTGTGCCAGACGAGATCAACTCTGGAGGAGATCTACAGTCGACTGCTCTGGCTGGTCTGATAGGCGCGCAATCTTCCTCGGTTTGCTTTCCAACAAAATTCTGTAAGTGCACCCTGCCACCCCAGACCTGATTTAATTAACTGCCGCTCTCTCTACCTGTCGGCCCGTAGCAAGTTGGGGCAGTCCTCAATTAAATTATTGCTAAATGCATTAAGCGAATCGGCAGCCCTTGTTTTAAATAGAGTTAGTGGTAATCAGTTTAACAGTTATGAACCATTTTGCTCCGTGTGAATTCAATGCGATTAAACGCGATGCGCGATGCGTGAATTACTTCAGGAATCATTTAGGAGTGTCCTCTGCACCGCGTTACAGGCTTCTAGAGTTAATTTTCTCGAATATGTGGCAATATCTTGTGGTTGACTTCGTACTGAGAAAGCTGAGAAAGTTTAATCACCAAATTAATAACAGTACTGTGCTTTCCTTTAGCTTATGACTTCTCACCAAGCCCAGGAAGCGAAGACAGACAATCCTCTGGAGTTGGTAAGAGAAAACAGCGCAGATATCGCACGACCTTCACCAATTTTCAGCTGGAGGAATTGGAAAGAGCCTTTCAAAAGACACATTATCCTGATGTATTCTTTCGAGAAGATCTTGCTTTACGTATACAACTGACAGAAGCCAGAGTACAGGTACTATCACTGCGATATATGATCAATCGATAAGTTTCACTGATATTAATATTCAATGTATCACTAGGTATGGTTCCAAAACAGAAGAGCAAAATGGCGAAAACAAGAAAAACAATGTAAAGTAACCACTCACATGCCTTCACACTTGCCACCATCCGACTGTCAAGAAATTCAGCAACAACAACAGCAGCAGCAACAATCAGATCACTTGTTGCTAGAACCTCCACTGGGAAGTCCGCCACCTATATACCTGGGCATGGAATGGGCAGGTTTTTCACCGTACAGTAACACTGCCACTGCATCACCTCTTGTGGTTAATAGTATGAATAAGGCACTGGAATCGGAGACAGATGACAATCCCTTGCTGGATCCAGAGCTGTTGCAACTGAAAACTCCACGTTCCTAATGTTACCAATCCAAGCCTATGCAGTAGTGTAGCGCGCCAATATTATTCCTTTTATCATATAATAGAGCATAAAATATTTCTGGAATGTCTGATGCAACAATTCTTTGCAATGGCACTTGAATTATGTAATGCAGCATGAAGCAATGACGATTACCATTTTAATAATTGAAACTGAAAATTTAAACTACTTTACTGCATAAAGTTAAGTTTAAAATGGTAATAATTATTGCCTCATCCTGTATATTGTGCAATTATTATTACTAGCTTTAATTGAAATTTAAGAAGGGGGACCAGAGATTTTATCATTGAAAGAAAAATTAACATTAAAAGTACTTCGAATATTGTTATGTAGATTTTGTAAGGATATAGATATAAATTTATTCTTCTCACGGGTTCAATGAATCCCAGAATAAGCAATGATAATTGTATATGTAAGGAAAAATCAAAATTAAAATTAAATTTTTATCCATAGGGAAACCAATAGAAGGAAATCGTCCCAACATAAAATAGTAACGTTAGCTTTATTTCGGTGTGCATATATTACAAATCATTAAATCAACTAAGTTATTGAATTGGTTGATCTTTAGGAGCAAGTAAGTAATTCAGGACGCTTCTTCTGATCATTTATTTAAGAGATTCAGTTTTCGACCTAGAGATTCCTTTAAGAAATATCTATGCGACAGATAACTCGATTCGTTTAAATGTTAGCAAAAGTTTCTAGTGTTCTCAACGATCAAGCGGAGCATCCCAAACGAAATAAATTAATGATGGTGACAGATGGTACATTAAAGTTATGCGACGTACGAATACTCATCTGCGTTATTCGGCGTGCGCTCAATATACTGCTTATCTATGAGAGCTTCGATACATTTTTTGATCATACCAATCGAAGGAGTGAACGTTACTTTTGGTTGGCTTAGTACCTGGAATATTTGTAACCATCGATATTTAACTATATAATTCAGATTCACTGTCATGAAAAGGAAAACGACGAAATAAAATATCTTACCTCCTGTATCAGTTGATTATGTCGCAGAACCTTACGGCTCTTCATAATACGGACTATAGCTGCCTGTAGGTACAATTTTCTGTCTTCGTCAACACTGCGATGCGTGGCTTCCGTGTCGTGGTTTTCATGTGGCACGTCCCGTTGCAACGCGCCAGTTATACGAAATTTCATTCTCTTATTGGAATAATCAAAATTGAGCGACAGGACGGTATCCTCCTCCAGCTCTCCTTCCGTAGACTTTTTCAAAATTTTACTATCTACTAAACTAGCCGCATGTTTGACCAACTGATCGTGCGACAAATGCAATGATGCTGCAGCTTCCCGGCACTGTATCGAATTGCAATGCTCGAATAGAAGCAATAATGCCATTTGGTATGTTTGTACAACCACCAAATAAGGTTTCTTCAAGTAATTAAACTTGAGTTCGCCTTGACAAAGATGATGCAACCAGGTAACCTTTCGACCACTAAATTGTGCGTGGTAGAACGCCTCGAACGACTGTATAGACTTCTCTAATTGTTGGGGTATGTGAAATGGTCCTGAGGTTGGTGGCAGAGCTAAAGGCCATGCACCTGCTTGCAACACATATACTACAAAACCTATGCGCAGTTGGTTTTCCCTATCGCCTTCCCTTAAACTTGCGGTGAATTTAGCATTCAAATCCGCCGACACCGACATGTCGGTGAACATTCTATGAAGTTTATTCGTGAACTCGTATCCGCAAGCTTGTTTCAGACGTTCGATCATCGATTCCTCCGCGTCCATTGACTGTGACTGTTGATGTATTAACCGTTTCGCCAACATAGGAGCGTAGAACTTTTGAAAAACATCTTTGTCGTCCACGTATTTGAACACGGTGATGCAACTTGCTAATTTTTCCTCGACCTCCACTTCTGACGCGGCCTTAGCTGATTTCCTCAGTAAGGAATCGCAGTATTTAGCTAACTAGATTAAGAACATTTCAAATAGTAAAACTTTGAATTAATTGCAACAGAAATTGCGCTTGTTAACGTCGATCATCGACTATTAAATTACTTACTAATTCAGGTGCCTTAACTGGCTGTCGTGGAGCTGTCCTGTGATTCACTATCGCCGAACAAGCTTTATCTAGAGCAGCCATAAACGTTAAGTCGTCATTGAATACGTCCTTGATAAATTTTGAGTATTTTTTATGCACATCCAACATATTCTCGACAAATTGCGTGTGTACCTACATTTATGAAATATATCAGTTTTATAAATAGTTACTGTACACTCATCATTATTATTTCACTTACATTTTCTCCCTGTAAATTCCCAATGGCTTTGAGTCCTTGTGCAGTAATATGTTCAGTAAGTTTTTGTACAACAGGAGTTAAGCCACCAGGTAGTGGCCTTAATAATGGATACAAGAGTGATAGATCGCTTTTTCTCTCATTTTGTATCATACTTTCAGCTTCCGTGTGAAGCCAGGTCATGTACGTGGCTATCATCTTCTCCTCAAAGCACAGTTTTACCTGCAAATCAGTACTGTCGAACAACCAACTACTTTAAATTAATTGGCTACATGTGTAACACATAAGAAAAGGTGCATACTTTAGGCACAGAACTCGTATGAAGGAACTTATGAGCACGTAGCTCCTCCAGGATAAACTGAGTCGTAACTTTTTCCATATAATATGTTATGTTAGACTTTTGACGTAACGTAAATGCTTCATTCGTATAAAACTGTCCACTGGCCTCAAGAAAAGGTGCTTCAAATATTGTTTGGTACATCTGAAAGAAAGTTAATAACATAAGTTTGTAACAAATATTTCACATATTTATAACAATTTCAAAATAAATCAAACATAAGTAATCACTTTTAACTGATCCACTAATTTGTACTGTTCAACTTGAACAAAACTATGTATAACACTCCAAATAACTTCCGTATTCGCCGTCTGAGCTTTGCCCACTCTATCGGCATGAATACATTCTAACAACTGAGACACCAGCTGTTTCTTTAAAGGCGTAATCATTCCTCTTTTCCAAATATCTAAGCCAAGTTCTCCAATCACCATTTGCTCTTGATAATCAGCAGTCATACTGGAAGACGTGCCATAAATAAGCTCAGCCTCTGAAAACTTTTGTCTTCGGATGTGGTGTTGATTTAGATATGAATACAAGTGATGCAAATGATCAGTGCCCTGTGAATATTCACACCAGGCACGACGGTAGGCTTGTAATAAACCCGATTCACTTTCTGCACATACTGATGTTAGTAATTCAAAGACATGCCCTTCTAAAAACTTCTTTGTTTCATTGTACAACTCTTCTGCGAATGATTCTGGATAAGCCACGCACAAAGAGTAAATATCGCTGAAAGCAAACATCGATCACTCACTTACACTAAACTTTATTCACTGCTTCTGATTAACCAAATAACACAAAATACCTGAACCTGTCATTCCATACTGCGTGTGGTACATTCGACGATGTTATTATACACTTTATAGTCTCTTGCAACACTTCCCATGTTTGCTTAAAACTAATTTGTTTTGGTTTTAATGACATCCTTTTCCACAATCAAGAAAGCACCAAGCAATTAAGTGTATAAACTCTACAACACAAATATCAAACTAGTGAACCTACAAAAGAAAATACCCAGTGACAATATAAACTTCTAATTCTTTATATAACAACAATGAAAGATGACAAGTTATGAACAAGTTCTCTATGGTAGTCAGGTTAAAAACAAAATATGAAGGAATTAAAGAACGTTAAAAACCGGGCACCTAAAGTCGATTCCAAGAATAATCTTTCAACTATAGACGAATACTGAGTTTACAAGGCTTTGTTCAAGAGTTTTCTACATTGGTGGTTCAAAAATAACATAAAAGTAGAATACATCGCTGGCGCATTTTCATTTCACGGTCATCCCTCTCTTTCTTCCCTAAAGTTTCTTTCAATATCATTTCTCGCCTTTGTCGCGCATAAAAATCATTTCCAAAATAACTTTTTAGCGCGAGCAAATCGAACTGATCAGCGCACTCGAAATAGCGCTGTGCACGGTTAATCAAACGCTACAAATCATTCTTGATTTATTATTGAACGTGACTCAGGAATGATCGTTTTTTTGATCGAGGATCGCGATCTATTTATCTATCAAGTTGCACATTGAAATATAACGTTCGGACCACGTTATCCAACAAATAATAAATTACGTGCGTTCACGCGTGTTGCGGACTACAGCTGACTAAGTACCATATCCAGATGGTCGTGATTGAAACCACTAACCAAAAAGTTGTGGAAAAACCAGTCGGCTGTGTATTTTTTCGGAAACACAGTCACTGATCGATTCGAATCCCTGTCAATACAAATCCCTCCAGCACTCTTAACTTCGGTACACCGTTGAAATCATTCCCTGTCACAAAATACATGACATTTACAATGACTCGTCTTGATCGAACACATTTTCCCCTCTCTTTATCTCTGTCGCCCCTTTTCTTTTTCTCACGTGTATTCTTTCTCACTTTTAAGAACCGTTCGTCCCTCACCAGAAGGATGATGCACTCATTAATGGCAAAAATGTTCTCGTTATCTATGGTGATCGACGAATTGTATTGCAGTACACCAAAACTGCCTCCAATTTCTCAATAACGTCGCAGAGCCATTATCCCTTTTGCTCTTGACTTTCTGAGATTTTGGAGGGGATGATAGCGCGGATTAACTAGAGATTCTATTCTTTATACAGAGCACTCCATTTTATGACGTACAAATTCAAAATAAGAACAATCCAATTTGTTCTTTTTGTCGCATATTACAGAGTATTGTGATCAAGGGGCGCGGTAATATTTTATTTAATCTTTAATCGATCAGACAATGCTACAGACGAGCGAAGATAATTGATAAAAAATTGTTTACGTTCCCATTTATCCTTCGGTATCTACAATATGTTAAGACGGTATTTAAATAAAAAATAAACGAGTATAAATATCAGGCTGATCTGTATGATGATTATTTGTACGTAATTTTTTGATAATAAAAAGTAGGAGTCATTTTATCGCGTTATGTGAAGTTGCAGTAACTCTTCGATAGCGAACTTCTATGTATTTTGTATTCCGTGATCGCGATCAGCGTTCGAAAGAACAGTTTAAACTGTGTTGAGGTTTAATCAGCGAAAAGTTTGAAAAACTACTGCTGAAAATGGTAATTATTCATATATTAAATAATCAAACTTTTAAATATTTCTTTGATATTAAATTATTTTGATTACTGTTATACTGAAATAACTTTAGAACAATTGTGAAGTGTAATGAGGTTATGTTGCTGTCAAATACGTTGATGATAGTGCACATTTGTTAACAGAAATTAATTATAATCGCTTTTTGAATTTAATAATTTTCTTTAGGTACATTAAAGACACTAACATAATTTGAGTAAATACTTAAATGAGATAGATTTGTGTATATTTAATAAATGTTATGTCTAATGAAACATGTCAGTATAAAATTGTATCTTCATATTTCAGAATATTTTAGCATACAATGGAGGTGCTATTATAGCTATGAAAGGAAAGAACTGTGTAGCAATAGCTGCAGATCGTAGATTTGGTGTACAAGCACAAACAATAACATGCGACTTTCAAAAAATTTTTGAAGTAGGACCGCACCTATACTTGAGCCTTCCTGGTCTTGCTACAGACACTCAAACAGTTATGGAAAGGTTAAGATTTCGATACAACCTTTATGAACTTAAGGAAAACAGAAAAATTCAACCTAAGACATTTGCATCAATGGTATCAAATCTGTTGTATGAGAAAAGATTTGCACCTTACTTTGTGGAACCTATTATTGCTGGATTGGATCCAGTTACCTTTGAACCATTTATTTGTAACATTGATTTGATAGGATGCATAAGTATACCAGGAGACTTTGTAGTAGGAGGAACATGTAGTGAACAACTTTATGGAATGTGCGAATCACTTTATGAACCAGATTTGGAACCAGATGATCTTTTTGAGACTATTAGTCAAGCTTTAGTGAATGCATGTGATAGAGATGCAATATCTGGTTGGGGAGCAATTGTTCATATAATGTAAGTTATTCTTTTCTTCCTTCTTTTTATCCATTTTTTTTATGCTTTCAACTTAATAATTATCTTATCTTTACAGAGAGAAAGACAAAGTTACAACGAGAGCTGTTAAAACGAGAATGGATTAAACTACCAATACAGATTTACATTATGTATAAGTTTATAAATTGGAAGCACTTATTAATAAAATGTGTATTCTGTTTAAATAAATTAATAATTTTCAATAAATGGATTATAAAGTCTTGATGTTCATTAATTTCTTATGAATTGTTAAAAAATGAGAAATGAAACTTTGCTTGTAATATTTAATTGATAAATACTTATGTTGGTAGCATTTAAACTGTGTTGACTGGTTCATCACGCACGTTTATAGGTTAGGGTTATTAGTTCGGTGTCTTCTGCTTGATTCGCAATGGATTAAAATATTGTCCACTAAAAAGTATAAATATAGAACATAACTATAACAATGGCTATTAATAAATTGTGCGCAGCATTTTGGCAAATAACAATTAATAGACAATGTATGTATGGTATTAAATTCTTAAAAAACTTTATGTAAAGGTCATAACCTAAGACTGTTTCATAGTTGTGCTTTAAACAATTTTTATAGATAAATTTGGAATAATAATCAAACATAATTTAAACTACTTTAGGTAATATCATCACGAGGTACTATTCTTCTCATTTCTTAAAGGATCAAAAAAAGAGTGTTACTTCTTATTCATCTGAGAATGCAACAAATCTGGCTTACTCCAATGTAAATATTAAATTTGCACCCAGAACACTCAATATAGATTTTGGGAATCTGGACAATATTACCAGAAGGAATATCATTGAAATACCATTGAAAAATGTACCATCAATGGAAGAACCTTTAATTCGACATCCAATTAAACATGACTTACCCCTTGTAGATAAAACTTTAGACCTCCCTTCAATAGAAAATGTATCAGAGAAACAAGCTGTACGTCTGATAGTAATTAGAAGACAGAAAATGAAGAAACATAAGAAGAAGAAGTTTCGTAGGAAGATGAAATTTAAACTGGAAACAATCAGAAACAGACGCAATGTAGCAAAAGAAAAAGCATTTCAGGCAGAACTGCTTGTGCAGATTAAAAAGGCAACCGCATTTGATGCAAAGAAATATGTTCAAGAGAGACTTGATATTCTATCTAAAGAACGTATACCAAGAACTTACAGAGGTGAAATACTATCAAAAGAAATGATTAAGAAATTCCTAGAAGAAGACGCGGAAAGAAGGCGGAAAAGATGTAATAAATTTCGCTTAACACTTGATTAAGTGCATGTACTAAAAAATAAATATTCATTGTTCATTGAGTATGTAGTGTAATCATTTTAATTTCTATTGATATGCAATTTGAGATTTATATAAACTAATAATAAATACGTACAAGCAAATTACCTTTAAATTTACTTTTTTTTCCAAACAGCATTAATCATATTATATTTGAATGTTTATTCTAATAGCGTTCGTAAATATAAATAAATCTCAAGTATAGGAAACATGGAACAATATCAACTATTTAATAAATGTATTAAAAACTTTAATTTATATCTATAAAACACTGTGTTGCAGAAATCCGCGTACATTGTCAAACCACGGTTTAAAAACATTACTTACATAGTTATTTATTAATTATGTCCTGTCTTTTGATCACATATGTACAAATGTTATATAATACTATGATACAATAAATAGCACCTTGTTGCGATTTATGCGTATGTCGAGATATGAAGGCACAATTCCCTGGGCATGCATTTCTCGAGAAACCTAGTATATTCATTTACGAGTATATTTGATATTTTAGAACGGGTTGTGATATTTAATTTCTATAAAAATATACTGTGCCTCTTCTTTGAGAGACAAGTATGATTTAAATTATAGTCTTTAGTCAATAAATACATTCAATAATAAAATTATCCTACCTAAGAATGAGAAACAGAGTATCGATAGTGAAGTCTTAATATCATGCAATTGACCTTAATTGCCTTCTCAAGTCTCTTAATCAGCTCCACTGTCTTGTTGCAAGACGAATTTCTGAATCAACATTGTTTTCCCGTTAAAGGTATATAAATTCATATCAATGTTCAAAAGTAAAACAACGAGAAATTCCAATTCCTATCTCTGTTCAATGGAAGACAAATTATGCGATCTACATGTTTCGATATCAAACAAATTTTTTCAGGGTAACACCTGACCCTTGTTCACCTTCAACACCTTTGGTTTGTGGATACCTATACTGCCAGTTCTTAAGTTACTATTCCTACCAGAAAAGTAGTCCTCTATTTCCTGAAGCGTTTTACCTTTAGTTTCAGGTAGACACAGATAAAAGTATATTGTACCTAATAAAGATATACAACCGTACGTGATGAAAGTACCATGCCGTGTAAGTGTACTGGCTAAGAAGGGATACGTTTTCACTACAGTAAAGATAAACAAGTGGGCCGCCATAGTAGTCAGCCCGCCAATAATACCTCGCACTTGTGTTGGATACACTTCCCCTATCATTACCCACGGTATAACAAGAAAGCCAAGAGTACACGTTACGGTATACATAAATATACAAAAAATTGGGAACCAAGTAGCGACAAGCGGAAGATGATTTGCAGTCCAATATTCCTTTAACCACATATAACCCCCTAAGCCTACCATAGACAGTCCGCACCCGATGGAAGAGACCATTGTCAGCGGTCTCCTCCCGCATCTTCTGCACAAGACACAGGCCATAATGGTGAATACTAATCTTACTACACCGAGAATCACCGCGGCTAAGTACTTATTTAACGACGAACCTGAATCTTGAAAGATCTCTACAGCGTAAAAGGTAATCACATTTGTACCCGACCACTGGTATATCAGGAAGTACAAGAACAACAACATAAACGGTTTCAGGGCGTTAGGCTTCAAAATGGCGCTCATTATTTCGCGGAACCCTGTGAGACGCTTGATGTTATTGTTATTCGAGAAATTAATAAGCGTCTCCATCTCTTGATTGATGTTACACGTGCTACCGCGGAACTGTTGCAAAGCCTTCCGCGCTTTTTCCGGTCTGCTGCGCGATATGAGATACGATGGCGTTTCCGGAAAGAAGAACATCAGCAGCAACGCGGCGAGCGGTAGTATTCCACTGATCGCCGCGCAAATATTCCAGCTGAGCAAGCTGCCTAACGCGTACTCGATCAGGACACCGGTGCTGACTCCGATGCTCGCGAAAGCGATCAACATCCCTCTCAGGTGCGGTTGAGTGACCTCTCCCGTGTAGACACGCGCTGGCGCGCCCACCATGCCCGATCCGAGGCCCACGAAGAACCTCCCGGCGTATATCATGCGAATGTCGGTTGCACATGCGATTAAGATCCACCCGAGTAACGCAGGGATTTCCGTGATGATCAAGGACTTCTTCCTTCCGAGGACGTCCATCATGTACCCCGAAATAAAACAGCCGATGGGAGTACCGATGGAGGACATGCTAGCTGCGAAATCAATTTTACAATTAATACAATGGAAGCGTGGCTATCTTGATTATTTAGGGATTTGTATTGTTCATTTCATTACCTATCCATGACTCCTCGGACGATCCTTCAGTGATGGGAATTGTACTATTTGGTTCTGTAAGTTGCGGTACAGCGATGGCAGAAAAACCAAAGGTCATGCCCGTGTTGATGGTTCCAAGCTGGGCCACCAGTGCTGCTAGGACCTGCTTGACAACACTCCCCGTGATGTTTTGACTACCTTCTAGATCATGGTGCGCGTTCAATTCCAACCCAGTTTTTTCGTCCTCTATCTGACCGGAGGGTTGGATCTTTGGAAGTACTGCAGAGTCCACCAGGGATGATTTCTCTGAGTTCGGAATGTCGCCATTCTTTCTGTAACGGAAAATTTGTTGCCGGTCAGAAGACGGTATTGGGAAATATTCCACTGGAGGATCTAATTTTTTTGCATACATCACGCTCGATTACCGATAATCTTTTCGCGCCGATCCGTATGATCGATGAACGAGGCACTAAATGTATATAATGAATTACAGAAACATGGTAACGGAGGACTTGGCTCTGGCTTGACTACAAGAATAAAATTTGACCTAAATCCTGAACAGTGTTCGTACTCGATTTATGAATGAATCTTACAATGGATCTTTCGAATATTTCATCACGGGGTTACTTATGCGGAAGAACACAGTAGGTCTGTTAATTTATTTCGATGAAGCTAATTCGAATGGCGGTATGGTTTAACATGGAAATGGAAAAATATGTGTCAAGATGACGACGGGAAGACTTTAGTGTTGTTTCTATTATGTAAGTAATAACAGGCAATATAACTGACGCATGAAAGACAGAGAAAGAAAGAAACATGTCCAAGGTGACTTCGAATTACTCTCATTCGCACGATTAACCGTGAAATTCGATTATTTCATGGGGCAAAAAACCAGTAAAACTTCCAGCGTTCTCGAACGGTTATGAGGCCGACTTATTGATGCAATTATGACTGTTAATTCTAAAATAAGAATAGAATTCATACGAAAGTCGTCGTGTGTGTAACTCCCAATTTTCACAGTAAGACATTGATGAAAAAGAAACATCGCAGTTAATTGATATTAGTTAATCTGCATTTAATATGATGCCCGTTATCTATTTAGCTGAGACTGCAGCCGCTAGTATATACGCATTTTTTTATCTGCTTACGTACATAGACATCTGTTGGACAAAAAGAAACTGATAACTCGATCATTTTTATGGGCAATAAAATAGGTATTAATACGCATTCTAAAATCAATTAAACATTATATGTGCACACGATTAAACGTGTTTTTAATATTATCAGCGTTGAATGTTGTTCGCAAATGACGTACGCTGCGAGGAACAATGACCGAAGACACGCTTCCAAGCATGATTCACGTTGCCTTCTGTTCCATATCTTTCTCCTTTTTTGACTTTTTAATGAGACAAAAGGCCGCGGCGAGAAACGTACGCGAAACGTTAGAATATACGACTTTTCTTTATATTCCTTTTACGTTTACCCGAACGATCCGTTTACCGCGAAGTACGGGATGAGACGAGGCGAGTTTCAATTTCATAATATTACATTTCTGAACTTTGAAACTTTGAGAGTTTGGACTTCGAGAGTTTGAGACTTCGAGAGTTTGTGACTTCGAGAGTTTGTGACTTTGAGACTTTGAGACTTTGAGACTTTGAGAGTTTGAAACTTTGAGAGTTTGAAATTTTGAGAGTTTGAAACTTTGAGAGTTTGAAACTTTGAAAGTTTGAAACTTTGAAAGTTTGAGAGTTTAAACTTTTAAAGTTTAAAAGTTTAAAAGTTTAAAAGTTTAAAGGTTTAAAGGTTTAAAAGTTTAAAATTCCAAAACGCAAAGATTTTAAGTTTTTAATCTTTTACATGTTTAAACCTTCAAACTTTCTAGCAACACAGAAATTTCCATTCGTGCAAACGCACGCACGGTAAAAATGAAATATCATTGGTGAACATGCAAAGTGGATAAACAAGATGCAAATAATTCAATGATGCAACAAGCAGTACGGTATAAGGCAATAAATATTACAGGTGCGATAGCTCTCATATGGAAATTCCTCGTTTTCTAACAGAACTGAATGTAAACATTCCGCAGTAGATGCTTACATAAACAAATACATTTATAACTAATATTCCAAAATCGAAAGACACGTTACAGAATAGTTCAAAACCAAAAATCATTCGCAGGTGATAAGCTGATACAGTTAAGAAATTCTTTTTTGGGAATCAATGTATAATATAATTCTATTATTCCCTCAATTCCGTTACGAAACGCGATAACGTTCGGCCATGTTGTTGTCACAGAAATTCAACAGCTCCGTATTTGAATTCGATTTCATTATCAAACGAATCGACGCACTCGAGTAGCCTTAATCCCGCATTATCCGCGATTTACCTCGCGAGCCAAAATAAACGACACGTGTACAAAAGATAATAAAACCCCTGTAGCTTTCAGAAAAGCTTTCTTCACAGTCGATATACAAGTTCGTCGCGTTTTGCGCCTCGAATTCGCTGAAAATATCCGTTGTACCCTCGAAACACATGTTAAAGTTGTTGTTGTTGGTCAGGTGTTCGAAAATTATTTTTGAATTTCAATCGTGTTCCTCGGCGAACAATATTGCAACATTCGAAAGAATTTTATTGTATATTGACCGAGCTTTACGGCTTTACCAAACGCTTCGAATCTCGTTAACGAAGCAAACTTAATTGAGATCGATGGGATCAATCCGAATGTGACAGCGCGTGTAAACGATACCAGTGTCGAGTAGACTAAAAGACCATTCTTTGTACCAGCCAATCAGGAAAATACCGAATTCTGGCACGGTCCTGAGCCAAATTATTTTCGTCCGCGAAAGGGTTCAAGTGTAACACAGATAAACGCCCCGTTTCAGCACAATTGTCCCTGGCTCCGCGATGTATTAATAGCGTAATTACATCACGCATTGACAATGGGAAATACTGAAAACACCGTGGATTTCAACAATGGATGAACAATGGATTTAATTAATTATCCATGTTACCCGGTATATTGATATTGGATTAGAAAAATATCTAGCAATAAATTAGATTGTGGCTTTGGGAATGATAAATGGTAAAGATAATAAAATGATTTTTAGAGAATTTCTCCCCGTTGAAAATCTGGATAATTGCTTGTATCAATGAAATCATGATCGGTAATGTAGAAGATCAGTCAATGTCTAAATCGGAAGCTGTTTCTATTCAGTAGACAACTGTTTTATCCAGCGATTAACGCAAGTTACCGACACATTCTAAAAATTCAAAATCCCATAACGACAATCTTAAATGACTACAAAAAACAGTACACTCCATTGAATGCTGCGCGAATTTTCAATGTGTTCACAAGTAACATCAATCATCTATTTGCATAAGAACAGCTGTCTGTTACCTGAATATTCATCGGTGACGGTGCTCGATGCATATTAATAGATATTTATATCTAGCTATGGTAAATAGACTGTTATCTGGCCAGGAAACTTGTTGATCACGTGGATCCAGTTACTATCATCGAATGAAAAAAAGTAATTGTCAAGCGGAGTTCACGAGGAGATAATATTCACGAGTCTGATTAAATAAAGCTGCCGCCTTCGTTTAAATAAAGAACGAACGTTCATTGTTCAGGACGCGCCCGTAATTTTCACCGGTCGAACGCTTACGGTATAATCATCGAGCGGCAAGCATCAATTCACTCGTTGTACGCGTCGATATCTTTTAACGCGGCGAGCTATAAAAAGTCTTGCAAACCGTACAGAACGCAATTCTATTTTCTCCCTCGACCGTTATTAAGCTGCCTTATCATTCCTACGCGAGTCGTCGATTCTGTTGATCCTCTTGATCTATGATAATAAGTCCTCGAGAGAGAGAGAGAGAGAGAGAGAGAGAGAGAGAGAGCATCAGTCACGCGTGCAGGCTTTTCCCACTTGTTGAAAGAATGCTGTGTTGACTAACGCGCTTCGAAATCCGTGGAAACAAACCCGAATGATCGATTAGAATTCTTCGACGGGCAGAGAAAAAAAAGAGACGTGCATTGTCGGGATTAATTGACTAAATATGCACAGATGACGCAATCACAAGCAACGGGTTGAACGAACGATGCAACTGAAAAACAGGAAAATATGGCGAACAGCATTCCGAACGTGCGACTTGTTTGGTAAACACACCCGCAGCTGTGGGACGGTTACAGCTGATCGTGTAACAGCTCGATAACGTAATTAGCAATTACCAACGAGAAACGATGGGAGACATTTACATGAGAAGTTAGTCTTCTCCGCGTGCTCGTTAATGCACCATGTAAATATACACAAATGTTCGATTCGTTCTGTCAAGTTAAAGGCCACGGTGATATTTATCATTTTGCTTGTCCCTATTTCAATAGATTTCAATAGTTATCTACGAAAAGACCGAGTTGGTAATAACAACTTCAAGCACGCCTACAGGTTAAGAAAAATCGAAACAGAGGGAACAGTTGTACCGAATGAAAAAAAGAGTCACTGAACATATATCATTTATAAAAGAATTACAAAGTATAAGCTGTTTACCGACCTTGACCGTGGACGCTTCCGCATAACCAATGATCGTGAAGCAATATTCGTAAAAACAATGAAATGAACATTGACCGTTGTTACTTCGAAATATTCAACGGGGAACGTTGTTAACATTAGAACTGTATTAATACGGTTTATGTGTAATAGGCACTGTGGAACTGCACCCCAATTTCCACTTGATATTACCAGTAACCTTTAACCCTCTGCGGACGAATCTTCTTTGAAATATAGAAAACGTTTAACCCTTAGCACTCCAGATGACTTTGTAATCTATCAGCAACTGCAACTAATTTTTATAGTATCCCTGGCGAGAATGAAAAATGCTGTAACATTTCTTAAATCTTTTATTTTCCTTCTTACTGTGAAATTTGGATGTGTGCAAAATCGAATAATTGTAGAGTAGTTTCTTTAAGATTCATTGAAATATCTAATATTATTCCTGGTGCAATATTGGAGCCTACAAGAGTTCAAAGAGTTAAAAGATCAAGCTGAATTTCTGTATCAATTGCTTAATTCATGGAAGAAAGAAAACTACGTGCTGATCTCTTGCTGTTTGACTAATTAAATGATTTATCTGCGACCCGTAAAGAATGTAACAATAGATTGTTCTCGGTTTCTTCAGACACTCATTGTATTCAAGTGAAACTATTTTCAAAATCATTTCGAACATTCAATGCTTTTACGATATTAACAACTGCGAAACAAATCATCATCGTTAAAAAACAACTTGAAAGACGTAAGAATTATACAGAATGATCTCATAAATGCTATTATTAAATGGATAAAAGTCAGTGCAAATGACAGAAAAGAAGTGGAAATTCTGTAATTTCCTCGTAGTTCGAAATGAGTCAAAATTCTGATAAACCTAGTGTCAATAATTAAATATAATCAGTCCTTTCTTTACTTCTTTACACTCATACAATCTATAACCCATAAGCTTGTCATCATCCACAGTTAATAAAAAAGACAAACATTCCAAAACGGCTACAAACTTCCTCTAACACCCCACTAACTCCAACTACAAGCCACTGCTCATCAGAAGATATTCAAACATTTCCAGAAAAGCTTCCAAGCGTAAAGGGTTAACAACTGTTACTAATTTACTCCAATAAACTCAATACACAACTGCCACGTGCGGCTACAAACGAGAGCAGCTCGGTGGACGCGCGCGCTCATGAAAGCACGGAAAGTAAACAAGCGAGTGACTTACTCTGGCACGGTGTTCGTCATGTTGACTGTTTTCGTTTTCCCGCGGCGCTTTCCCGAACAATGAAAATTACGTATACGAATATATATGTATATACGTGTATATATATATCACAGCTGAACGGTATCACAACGTTGAAATCATCGCGCGAGCCAGTCTCGCTCGGTTCATCGCCTTCCTCTCTTTCCTTTGTTTTCCTCGTCGCTCGCTAGGCCAGTTTCCTTTCTTCCTGGTGGTGAGACACGCAATTCGCCTTATCTCTCAGAAAATTTTCGTTGCGCCGTTCTTGCGTCCCGGAGAATCCAACGGACGTCTTCTTCCATGGACAACGCGTCTCCTCGAACGTCTATCTTCGTCTCGTCGTTTGCTGGACCGAATTTCGTGACCCCGTTCAGCGCGTTGAAGTTTCGTTGAAATTTATGGGACACCACCGAGGTTTACTGCTGTGGAGACGACTCCGTTCGACGGGGGAATTGTGTTGTTCACGCACCACTTGTTGCGGCTGTGACGCGCGCGAAACGAATGGCATTCCGTGACACTTGCCGGGCGGTTATATATGCGACAGCGGGTCGACCGTGGTGGGGAGGGGCGCGCGAATTTTGTTATCGCGCGCGTGCGCCCTGGTACCGCGACGGTTTCACCCCTCGAGGGATTTCTGTGTGAATGTTTTTTGTAATAATTTTCTAACGCTTGAGTGTTTAACCCTTTGCACTCGAGGGATCGGTTGTAGAGATAGTTAACCCTTTACACTCGACGATATTTTTCATTAAAGATATTCGTTACTTTCTGAGTGAATATTAACGATATTTTTCGCAACTAACATAATTGAGTATCTGATATAGATTAAGAGACAGAACTATTTTATATTGATACATTACACAAGGTTTAATATTGAACTGAAAATTTTATAAGTTTGCTGCGTCGAATCAGGGAGTGCAAAGGGTTAAAATTTGTCATTACAAACTGTAGAATTTTGTTATTCGATATATTATAACATTTATATCTATAATCGACAGAAAATAGTGAGATACATCTATGACCTTTCTTTTCATGCGCGTATTATTTATTTAGATGTTAATACGCTTTTTCTATTAAAATTCGAGTTGCTGGTAATGTCAGCGAGAAACAGCTTCGAGTGCAAAGAGTTAATATAATTAATATGTAATGTATATGAAACTTGTAATAGATTATTTTCAGATTCTTTGGATGTTCATTGTGGTATGCAAATGAGACTGTTTTCAAGATTATTTCGAATATTCGATGCTTTAACCGTTTGCACTCGAAAGTTCTTCGCTGGAAATATTTAACGTTTTTTGAAGGGATATGGACACTGTTTGAAACTAATTTAACGATAATTCGCGGATAAATTAAGCAACGAAGATATTTTAGTTAAGTATTTCCTATAGCAATAGAAAGTTTAATTTGAAATAGTAAATATTCATAGTTTTGCTGTATGAATCAAGTGACTGAGAGTTAACTCTCGAGTGCGAAGGGTTAACTAGAACTGCTGAGTGTTTAATAGGATTAATATATAATTTATATAAAAATTGTAACAATAGATTATTTTCAGTTTCTTTGGATGTTCATTGTAGTATTCAAATGAGGCTGTTTTCAAGATCATTTCGAACATTGAAAGCTTTTAAGATATTAATCATTGCGAAACAAAGAAATTGAAACCAGTTTTGACTGGTACGTAGTTCTAGTGTTAAAGGACATTCTTGAATTTTTTTCGATTGAATATCAAGGAAGATATATGACTGTCGAGATTATTAACTTATGGAAAATTTTATGAGTTCTTGTACATTTAAACGATGTACTTGAAAATGATATGTTTTTTCGATATTAGAATATATTTTTTTTAATGTGTTCTATATTAATTTATTATTTGATTTTTTGGGAACGAGTAGGAGTTAAATAACATCGCTTTCGAATTTATTTGTAATGAAGCTATCCAATAAAATAAGAAGGTTGACAGTAACGCACGAGCAGCAAACGCATCGTTCCCGATTCTTTTTTCCTCCGAATCGACAATATAGGTTGCGCCGTGCGTAATCTACACCCGAATCGATAAGAGCAATCACGAGGTTTTGATCATTTGTTTATCTGAGAAAAATAGTAGCCGTATCGCTGGGCGGTTCTACCAACTCGTGACTGAATTTGTCACGATTGTTGTTCGTGAAACGCGATACCGGCGAGAGGATGAGCGGACCATATGACTCTGAATGTGCGGAACCCGATAAAGGCATCGGTAGCAAGTGAAAAGTAACGCTGGCGATCGCTGACTATAAACCTCGATCGAGGAAAGAAGAAAATAAGATCGTCCGCTCGATCAACAAAGGATTCATCGAATCTCGCGCTCCGATCGGCCCGTCCCGTTTAACGATTCGCATTTTCGACCTCCGATGATTCATCGGCACCAGAAGGGAAACGAACGAGCTCGTAAACGCGGGGCAATTCGATTTTCATGCGACTGACTTCGCCCACTGAGTAATTTCCCCGTCGGAAAGCGTGCGGACCACCTGCGCCGAGCGGCTTTATTCCAGAACGGTCATCGATCACTCGTGATCGACGTCCCGAAAACGTACGAACGCGGAGATCGATGTTTCATTATGGATGTAATCGGTCGAAACAATCGCGAATGAATGGAATGAAAAATGTACGCGAAAACATCGACGAGCACTTTGTCTCTTTGCCCGCCATTTTGTGCGTAATAATGGCGCGCGTCGTGGAGCATCGGCGAACGTTAGAAATATATTTAAACCTCGTCCACCGTTTCGATCGATTCGGCTCAAAGCTGAAGCGTATTTGATCTTCCGGGTTTTATTTGTTTATTTAAACGGGGAAAGATAAACCTCTGGCGACTATAAATAAATAATTTGCAGATTCAGCTGGAAGGAATTAGAGGATTCAACGTTGAGACTGTTAGCGTTTAGATTCAAATATGTTAATGGCTTTAATGGTTTATCGTGATTGTTTTAATTGCAATTGATATGAACGAAGTTATTCAATCCGAAGCTTAAAAGGCTTGGATTCTGGAATTGTAGAAATTGTAGAAAGCTTAAGGACTACTTAATTATGCACTGTGGATGACTGTTCATAGTTCTCTTGCTTCTGCTCGCGATGACGAATTCCGTACACAACGAAACGAACAGTAAAATCTGACCGGACCACAGCGAAGATAAACTCACCGAATAGTTCTTATGTAAACAGTTTAATCGTCACGGATGACGTTTCCACAGCGGATTTTCGCACGGTTTAATTCCTATCTGCGGGAAACGCCTCGAACTTTCTCGCAAACGTCCATTAGCGAACGTAATCTAACGGCAGATAAAATGGCGGACTAAAATGCAGATTAACACCGAAGAGAGTAATCTCAGCTTCGACATTTTCAAGCTAACGTTCCCTAAGTTAATGTGCACATCTCTGGAGAGAGGATTATAGTCTTAAGGAACAGGCTTATTCGATGATAGTTCGAGCATCGTGTCCATCGGACATTAATGATGATCAACGATCAAAAAAGGATTTACGATAAACGTGAATTTGAAGAAAGGTTCACTTATTATCCAATCAACGGAAGATCGAAGATTTTTATGATCTGCAGTATCACTGAAATCACTTAAACTGTCACTATCAGATCATCTGTTCCAACAAAATCACTTTCCAAAAAACAAAATGATTTAATTCGTATTTAATCAATAAAGTTCTTCGCGAATAGCCTAAGCTTCTCTTTAACCATCAATGTCATCGATACAAAAGAATATCTCTAAACGTTCATAGCCCAATTAATAATTATTCTTGCTAATTGAATCGAAGATTTGTTATATCCAAGATAAATAATAACGAACAAAGCGTACAGTATAAAAATTTCCGCAATGTTCGCAATTCAACCACTGTTTTATCATTCGAAATGCATTTCTGTTCCGTTTCTCGCTGACTGGCTCGCGAATATCGACATTTACGTGAAAATCTACCGTGCGCTTGTTAGTTTATCCCCGATAATGTGAACGTAATTTGGATTTTTTCATGGTACTCACCCAGTCGAGGTGCTCGCGTTCGTGAACGTCTCGTAGTTCCGGTTCCTGGGCATGGTTGACGTCGGACTGAACACGTTTCGCGGACTGTTGCGGTTGATTAAATTATTCTCTAGTGGTTTATCGGTCTTCGTGTCACGAGTTTTCTCGTATCAAGAACCGCAGTCATGTGCTCTCGCTTCTTGTGCGTCTTGTTTTCCTCAATTTCGCATATTTTCAGACTGGTCGCCGACGACTTCCTTCCATTCCTCCCAGGCGCATTCGAAACAAACGCTCCGAGTATCTACGAAATTCGATATATTAATCAAAATTCGTCCAGCGTCGATCAAGCAATTAGAACGGAATCGTGAGAACGAGGAGGACTATCAGGTAATTATTTATTAACGCTTGTTTCGCAAATTGCATCGAAGTTGCTGTTCGATTCGAGGAAGTTAATCTGCAAGATTGATGTTTAACGCGTATATACCAATTAAGCTAATCGTACGAACTAATCTAACCAGTTAATAATTAATTATATAACGTAAAGGTAAACAAATTAGACGATTAATTCTTTTCAGTAGCAAAAGGAAAGACAAAAACTGAGAGACTGATTAATCGGATAATATGAGAATTGATAGAAAGTTAAATGGACGAAGGAAAATACGAAATCGTAAATTAAATCTTAAAATTGGTCACTTGACCAGTGTTAATTGGAACATAAACTTACTTGAAAGAAGCGAATATCAGAACGAACAAGCAATCGATTTGATCGGAAGACTTCCTTTATTATCAAAAACAAGTGGCACGTCCAAGGCTCGAATCAGATGCGACAAATTGATTCGTACATGTTTGTAACAGGAAATAATGGGAACGTAGTATTTCCATAAATAAATAACTGGTGTCTATTACAGTTATCGAACGATCGATGCACTCTTATCGGCTGGAAGATAAACGAACCGCAGATTATTCAGCGAAGATTACGATAGATGGAAATTCACGCAGCTAGCACAAGATTCTCGAAGGATTACTGCGCGTTCCCGTTTCGTCACGTTTATTGGATTAATTGACGCTACGGCATGCTATTTTTGCGTCACGCCACGAAATCGCATCGTCCCAGAGGTATCGTAATTATAAAAATAACATGTTACCGCTCGTAAAAGTTCGTTCCACATTATTTCACCCGAAAGTTCGTCCGTCTTCCCTGGAAACTCGGTCTTTTCGTGTATATACGCGAAAGACACGTGTGCAATCATGCGCATACAATAGATAGGCAGCACAAATATTTATGGAAATCACGACTCAATGTTTCATAATATCCACCGACATTCCACGACATTTTACAATATTTCTTTGCATAATAAACTCTACTATTTACCTATGATTCCTCGTGAATTTCGAATCACCTAAATAATCCGAGTCACAAAACTCAAAAAAATTCGTTACTCTAACCCATTAAAAGACTGTCACACCATATTAACCTAACAAGTAACAAAATTGTTGAATATCTTGAATATTCGATGCACTTGCACAGTCGATATTTATAATAAACAAATACCTTTTACAGAGAGGCAACTGGCGAGGCTTATCAAGCACAATTTCACAACAAAATGGAACGATACGAAAATATCAGCGAACTTGCATTAGATCAAGACCTCCGTCGGTTTCTTCGCAGATAATGCACCGATGTCTAATTAGATCGAGACTCGACGGGTGACCGGAAATGGCGGACGTCTAGCCGGAAGATCGCGCTGTACCGTCGGGATCGACCAGCCGGCGAAGAATGGGAAGGGCTAAATCGAATCGCGTTGAACGATGTTGACGAGTGCCCAATAAAATCCGAGCCCAGCGTATTATTTTTCGTTTCTCCGCGCGACTCGCCGTTATCAGGCGACTCGCGCCAATAGAAAATCATCCTCGACTCCCGCGTTATCGGGTTCACTTGTGTCGGATTGCGACATCCCGCGAAAATTGTGAGATCACTTTTTAATTAATATTCAAACGCTGAGCGAGCCGCGGATCGCGGTGTTGCTCAACGATCCATTGGCGTGCTTCGAATACGCGTTTCTGGGTCGATCGAGCGTTCATGTAAATGTCGATTTTTGTGAACTCTAGTGGAAACTAACGAGGCATTTGCATATATCATTGATTTCATCGGGGATCTTTTCTTTTCGCTGAATCGGTCGTTGATTTACCTTGGATGCTTATGAGTTTGCGTTGAGCGAGAATGTAGTGGTGAAATAGATGTGTAGATTCTTTGATTAACGAATCGGTTTTTAATTGCGTTCAACGGTTTTGTTGTTCATTATTCAGTAAAAGAGAAAAATTCTACGTTTATTGTATGTCTATGTTTATTCAGAAGCATTGCAATTAATGTTAGAAAAGTAATATTCAATTACTAATAATAACTAATAATACTTAATGATTAATATTAACTAACTATTGTTACTAATACTAATATTAATAAATACTAATACTAATATTAATACTAATATTAATTAATATTAACTAAATATTGTTACTAACTAACTATTAATACTTAATAATAATTAATCAATTACTAATATTGACTAATATTAACACTAGAACTACCGTACCAATCAAAATGACTAGTTTCGATTTTTTGTTTGGCAATTATTGATATCTTCGAAGCATTGAATATTCGAAATGATTTTGAAAATAAATAGTTTCATTTCAGTACTATAATGAGTGCCTGAAGAAATTGAAAATAATCTATCGTTACAATTTTTATAGGAATTGCATATTAATCGTATTAAATGCTGGGTAGTTCTAGTGTTAATATTAAATTTTATTCGAAATCTTCACTACGAGTCTGACACGATATTGTAGGTCAAGAGGTTAAGAGAATTCTGGTGTTTCAGGTGTTCGAAGATTGTTTCCTTGGATCGATGATACTCCAGAGGTTGACGACACGAATTCACGGACAAAAGTTCGAGAATGTCACGTACCGTCGTTTCTCTTGCCAGGATCGGCGATAATTAGTTAATTGAGCGTCTCATTACGGCGACAACTGTCGCGTGCCATGATACGTGGACTATCTGTTCCGGCTTGACACGCGTGGAACGAACGACTCGTGCGGAATCCTCCTTTCATCCCCTTTCGCGTTCTTTATTAGTGCGAATCGAAGCTCACCGAACAGGTATATCGAACTTCCGACTCACGAGTATAGCGCAGCGATAAATCATTAGAAGATACACGAACTTACACAGTGACTAACTCCGTTGTTCAAATATTAACATTCACAAGGGAGGTTATCGAACCCGGAAATTCCAAAAAGTATGAAAGTAATTTAACCCTCTGTAATCCCATGTAACTTTGAAGTCATATATCAGTATATTGGCATCTTGTTGATTTATTTCATTTTGCACTTAAAGTGGTGAATAAAATTAAGTAATCAGTTAACTTCAACTTTTTTATGCTCACGCATAAAAGTTTAACGTCATTGTAACTTGAAAGTTACAAAATATATTCATTTGATGAAATTATTGGAACTATTGAATACATTATTAATTCGTATTCATATGTGGACATTTATTAATTTTGTACTGCATAGATTTTGTTATAATCATGAACAAAAATTCGGTCCATAGAGGGTTAAGTAGACTAAATCGACCCTAATACATTGCAATTTTGTTTTCTTATCGAATTTCACTTTGAAGGGGTGAAACCACTCTTTGAAAATGTAATTTTGTCTTTCTCGTAGATTCTCTTGAGAACAATAGAAGATAGCGAAGAAAGTTTCAACAAAAAAATACATTGTCCTTTCACGTCTATAAAATTACGAAATAAAGTTTCTCAGAACGTTCAAGTTTTCAGTTTCAAGTTCAAGTTTCAAGGGTGGTTTCATCCTTTTAAAGTAACATTCGCTACGAAAAGAGAGCACTGTATTAGGCTCGACTTACTCTACTTTCATTAATTTCATAATTTTTTGATTTTGGGATCAATAACTTCTTTTGTATCAAAACACCTGATTGCTCTTCTCGCACACAATCTCAAGTTCGTCTGTTTCCACCCTATAAAGTGAACTCTGCGGACTTCTCTCAAGAACTTCTCAAACCGTTGACAACTCTTAACACGTTGAATGCCATGGGGGTCACCGGTGACCCCCAACCAAATCCGATTACTATAGTTCATTCAATTAAACGACGATTATTTGGAAACAATTCTATATTATAAATAACGCTACCTAATGCAGTAACATTTGGCTACATGAACGTGCAATAATAATAATGCAATTCAATGAAATGACTTAATAATATATTTTTTCTGTCTTGTGTATTTTGTTCTATGGAATCGCGTGGCATTCAACGTGTTAAATACTAGAACTAAGGGAAGTTTAGAACCAACTTAAATACTAGAAAAAAGGGAACCTCGTACCTATCTCTCATTATCTAAATTACTCAATCATTTATTCCAAGCTTTCAATTTTGGATATGAAAGCTCAAAGCCATTACAACATTCGAGCGCAAAGGGTTCTCTGGTCTCCGCGATTCCTCGGATTTGGAAGTCCTGGCAGCAGCCAATGTTTCAAGGAAGCCGATCAACCTGAATCACATTTTTAAATAAGATTCTCGGCCGCAGTGTCAGCTCTCGGAATACGCGGCAGTGAACTTAATTATTAATAACTTGCGAGGCGAAGTGACCGAGAAATCGTTCCGCCAGTCATCCACGACTGATGCAACAATGCCAATAGTAAGAGCAGGAAGCGTCTCAGCGAGGATTCAGGAATTCCGTGACAATGCTCGCGTGGCACAATGGCAGCCAAGTGTGGCGCAATTCCAAGACGTTCGTTCCCGCGGATGTCGCGTCGGGATCTTCCGACTCGAACGTCAGAGGCGAAAGATCTAGCGTGGATCTCCGGAGAGACTCTTGACCTCACGATCACGTTGATACCGATAATCTCTGTCCTCACGTTGTATAGACCAGGGTCGGTAGTTCACGATGCTCGGCGGATGAATCGGAGGCTACAGGCGGCTATTGATTGCGATCTAATCCAATCATCGATTCGCCGGGATCATGGCGCGTCGCCAGGCTGTCTCGCGCCGTTACACAATGATTTACCGAGCGGAACGCAGATTATGCGAAGACTCGAAAAAATCGGAATGACTTCAGCTGAAGTTTAGCTGGGCTGGCAGTGTTCGTTGAAGAATGGGACTGCTATGGTGGATTTTAAGTGGTTAGCATAGTTATTCGAGGAGTTTAGAGGATATCTTGGTGTTTGGAGATTTTTAATGGTTCTGCAGGGTTTAGATGGATTTATGATGATTTTTAGGGTGACGTTTGGTAAGCTTCTTAGATATCTCTGAAGATTCAGTGAGGTATTCTAATTGAATCTTAATTGAATCTTAGAATTCATTGAATATTCCATGAATCATCGTGTTCTCAAGGTTCAGTTACTAGTGTACTTTGATAGTTCTCAGGATGCAGTTATAACGTCAATTAACTACAAGTAATATAACTTCGCATGAAAATTTCATGAATTTCACTCGTCGAAAACACTGTACTGTAAGCCGAATTCTTGTGCTATCAAACTTGATACGTCTTATCAGGCGCGGAACGAGGTATCGAGGCACCGGCAGCCAAATTAAAAAGCATGTTATGCAGCGATAACCGGCACTCGTTAGAAAGAGTGTTAAAAACTCGTTAAAGGATCCAACATTTGCACTGCTAATCTTATCATTGTCGGAGTGGTCTCGGTACCAAAGTCGAGAAAATCAGTCACGGTTACGTGATCAGCGCCAGTAATCACGCCGCGTGGAATCCACTCGAGTTTCTGGACAGCCTTAGTCCGAGATCCGATAAGTAAATGAAAAATCGTCGCCCGGTTGGTCACGTGCCTTCTGATCATGCCGGGAGGATCACCGAATTCTTTCATCCTATTGCGCGACACGATTAACCGACTAATTCCGGAAAATCCTGCTCGCCGCGAGGTTTCCTCGATCAAATATTGATCGAGCGGATTAGCATATCCCCGATGATCTACCGAGAATAGAAAACAGGTTAAAAATACGAGCAGGAGATTTGTCGAGCGTGTTTTATGAACAGAGGAATTTGCTTTCCGGATCGAATCGTTGGGTAAAGAATACTTTGTTCTTTCCAGAAATCATTTCAAATTTGTTACGACGAAGCAGGAAGTGCGACATTGTTTACAAGTTTCATGAATGGAAAAAACAGTGTTGAACCTTAGGATGAGATTGATCGAATGTTGTTTAGAACGATATAGAAACAGTAATTTTCGTGAATATAGAAATTGTTTTTTATTTCTTTTGATTACCGAGAAACTATTTTCTTAACGACGAGGCTACGAAAAAGCACCGTAGATCGTAGGAGACTAAACAACGAGGCAGAATTGAAAGACACATAAAAGAGTATTTAACTAATTGCCTCTGGTCCTGCCGCCGGGTCACGAACTCTGCCCTCAATTAAAACCTGTATTAACTGGTAAATTGCAGTGTATAAGGTTGTTTCCTTCGTGCACATCATTCCTTGGTCCTTCAATTTCTACTGAGATAAGTTAATTAACCACTTTTGCCGTACTATTTACTTTCCCCACTAAGCTTATGTACCATTTTGCTATTGACAATTTGGAAGAAATGCAAGAAAATTGTCCATTCTACTTCAAGTGGAAATTTTATTTGAAGATAATACAATGATAATAGCAAAATAGTTGTTTGCTTTGATCCGTGGGTAATGAATAACATCGATTGTTTTTAAATTAGTCTAGAAACCTTCATCACGAATCTCACTCGTCATTGTACGGTAAGGGGTTAAGAGATATTATATAACATTTTTTATAGAATTGAATATTTTTAATTAACCCCTTGTCCTACAACAACGAGTGAGACTCGTAGTGAAGATTTTCAACATGATTCAACAAATATATATATTACTTAGTTAATTCGAATTCAAAGTAAATATTATTCCTCTGTAATCAACTATAATACTTAAAAGGAAATATAGGCATAACATATGCTTAGAATTTTTCTCTTTTTCCAATAAATTATTAATGACAAAGTAGCCATATCGATCAGAGTTGAGAAAGAAATCATAGGCCAAGGGGTTAATATTCCATAGAAGTCATAGGAAACAAATTTGCAAACGCAATAAGAAAATATTATATCAATGCTTCAGTATCATTTTCCGGGTAGAATCATCTGGAAAAGAATAATACGACTCGAAAGAGTAATATAACAATGAACAGACAGTTCTGCGAAACTGAATACCATCGTCATTTCATTAATTTATCAATATTCCGAATGACAAATAAGATTTCGTATCCTTCAATGATCCTCCTTTCTGGTACGTGTCTTTCACTGC